GCTGAGCCTGTCAGCCCTGCACGGCCCCCACAGCTCCGCTGGCACCGGGGTAGGGGGCTCAGGGGAGGGGGTGACACCGTGGCAGGGTGTCCCGTGCCGGTGCTGCCCTCCTGAGTGCGGCACCCAGAGCAGGTGGAGGAGGTTTTGGGATATTTTGGGGTGTCCTGCTACTTTCCCCCTTCCTTTCTCCATGCCCCAAAATGGGTGCAGCAAACACACTCAGCCCTCTCAGCAGAGCCCTGACTCTGCTGCATCTGGGACGTGGGGCGGTCGTTCCCAAAACAAGCAAAGCTGTTGCACATCCACCACGTGCCTTTAGATCCTGCTGTGCCAGGGGGAATTGCTTAGTGGCAGCTCTTCCAGGGCTTTGGGAGGGTAATTACCTGGGAGCATTAATTACCAGGCAGGCGAGCATAAAGCCGAGTGGCAGCTCACGTGGGGTGGGAATGTTGGGGTTGGCAGGGATGCAGCAGTGGGATCGACCCCCTGCCACACCAGGGCGAATTTCCCCCCAAACAGAGCACCCCAGGACTGACAGAACCATGGAATCATGGAACCATTTGCGTTGGAAGGGACATTAAAGCTCATCCCATTCCACCCCACCTCCCACTAGCTCAGGTTGCTCCAAGCGCCATCCAACCTGGTCTTGGGGGCACTTCCAGGGATGGGGCAGCCACAACCTGTGCCAGGGCCTCACCACCCTCAAGAGAGAAGAATTTCTTCTGTAGATCTTGGAGTGCAAAGTAAACTTCCCCAGAACAGCAGCCTCTTTACTTATTTTGGTTTTTTCTTAGTTCTTTTTTAATTTTTTTTTCCCCTTTTATTAATAAAGGCTTCATTAACAAGCAGCGACAGAAACTCACACCAGGGATCTGACTATTCCAAGGAGCCAAGTCATCAATTAAACCAACACTTCTCTCTGTTCTTTCCCTTTCAAACCCTCGGTTTCATCACCAAAAAGGAGAGTCGAGAGGGCTCCAGCGAGGAGGAACAATACCATGGCACCAATGACTACATCTGCCCCTTCTCCCCCACAGCGAGGCAACAGATCCCACTGGCACTGCAGGTTTTCAGGGGTTCCACAGTGTCACAGATCCATGGGAATCATGGATCAGCACACAAACCTTACCCTAACCCTAACCTTAAAACGCTATCCCTGACCAACACGCCAGCACCTCCCAAAATGTGGATCCCTCCTGTCTCCAGGATACCCAAAAGCTGGGGTTTTTTCCCCCTCTAGCATCAATTCACCCACTAAGAATCATTCCTTGCTCTGACAAGGTGTTTGTCCTGCTGGGATGTGATCACGAGTGCTCTGCAAAAGCGTCCCCAAGGTGTCCCTACAACTCTTCACGCAGCAGGAATAGCAGCAGCCAGCAATTAGCAGCTGATGTCTATTATTTTTGATAAACCTCAAGCATTTTGGATAAGCTGGAGCCACGTGCCACGTGCTAGAGAGGAAAAGTTTACAGCGGAGCACATCCCTTTGGGATGGGCACGGGGACACGGGGCAGGTTGGACGAGCAGCTGGCCCCCCACAGCTCCATTTCCAACCTCTCCTGATGCAAAAATCCCATAATTTTTAAGGTTAATAAAGCCCTTGTTTGCTTAAGACAGCACCTGTTTCTATGGTGACACTTGCAACCCGGAGCCTGTTTATCAACCGGCGACGAGAACCGCGCTGACAAACGCGAGCGCCGGAGAAGACACCGCGGTGTCTGAAGACCAAGAGCGGTGCCAGGACCTTTGGGAGCGGGGGTGCTGTGGTCCCTGGGCACAAAAACCTGCCAATCCCACATCCACCTGCTCTCCACTCTGCTCTACAACGCCGTGGGGGCGATTGGAGCAGCGGGAGCTGCACCCAGAGCACCCATTGTGGGGGGAAAGCCACTGGCGGGATGGGCGATGGGTGGGAACGGCTCTCCTTCAAAAACGTGGGACACAGTTCCCGTCTCCGACCCTGGACGTGACTCTGGCAGCTCTGTGCCTCAGTTCCCCCCATGCCCTGCCCTGGGAAGGGCTCTGTGGGGGCAGCTGAGCCGAGCTGTGCCGGTGGCAGCAGCGCCCGGCGGGTCCCGCTCCGCTCCAGCCTGGCGCAGGATTTCTCCCGGCTGGCAGAACCGGTTTCCATAACGACTTTCTGTTACAAACATATTTTGATAAAAATAAAGTTAAAGCAGCGAGGCTTTAGTGGAGTACAAATTCGCTGCTCTCGCCCTCCCCCTTCCTCCTCCCCAAGGAGGGGGAATAAAGACGGAAAGCTTTCCATTTGAAGGGCAGTATTTTCTCCCTTCTTTTTCTTTCCCCGCTGAATACAAAATGGAAAACCTTGTTTACTGGGTTTCGCTGTAAACTGGTTCCGACTCTGCCTGGTTACCTGATGCTCTACAGTATATACAGGATAATGTGATAAATTCATTTCCAATTCACTGCATTATCCTTTGAATATTTTAATGACTCATTGAATGGAGTAAAAAAAAAAAAAAAAAAGCTATTTCAAATGAACAATTATGCTGCATTAGAGTAAAGGCTGATTATATTTAAACACTGCTTCCATGGATAACGGGACATATCGACCTCCGCCTATAAGAGCTAATTTGGCTCTTATCTCTAAATAATTTTACACTGCAAATTACCATGAAAACCTAAAGGGCTTTAAAAACATTCATCAAAAGATATTATTCCACTTTGTAGCAACATTTTTATTTAAATTATTTTGAATAGGAGTGAAAGCATCTCTCGTGTTTGACAATCGGAGCAGCGGCGGAGCAGCGGCTGATAAGGAACGGCGAGCGGCACCGACGGGATGGGACGTTCCACCCCCAAACCCCACCTCGGGAGAGCGAATTCGGAGCCAGATCCCAAACTTGGTGGCGTGCCAAAGTACTGCAGCACCCAGAAGTGGCGTTTTAGTGCTGCTGGAGCCGCTTCCCTCCGAGCTGGGGGATTGCAAAGCCGGGGTGACGCCGAGGCGACACCCCAGCGATGCCGGGATGGTACCCGAGTGATGCCCGAGTGGTGCTGGTGGTCCTGAGGGGACAGTGACAGTGTTGGGGTGATACCCAGGCGATGCTGGGGTGACACTGGGCGATGCTGGGGTGACGCCAGGCCACTGCCTGGCGCGGGGGCTCCGCCAGCCCCCAGCCCTCGCGCTGGCCGCCCCGTCCCTCCCCGCAAGGAAGGCACTCGAAAGCCCCTCTCTGCACCAAAGCAACAGAAGGTGTCATGTAAAGCCTACACGGTTATTTTAGAGCCAGTGTGCAAATAAGCCTGTCAGCTGAAGCTCCTCGGAGCCAAGACTCCCATATACCCCCCAAACGATCTGCATTTCAACGAGACACCATGTGTGTCTGAGCCCGCCGGCTCCGCCGCAGCCATTTGGGGCTGGGGGGCTTGGGAAAACTCCCACTGCAGCCCCGGTGGGACGCACTGGGACACCCCACTCTGCACCCCCAGCAGCGGGCACCGAGCTCAGGGCTGGGCTCAGGTGGTTTTGTCCCGGTGCCCTGCCGGGATGGTGCTGGTTTTGGGTGGTTTATACGCATTTCTGTGTGTAGATGAGAGATACGTGTACACACGCCCACGAGAGATAGATGGGATATATATATATCCCATCATTACAGAGATCGTATCAATATATGTGTTTTATATGTAATATCACATAGAATCATAGAATAGCTCATGTTGGAAGGGACCATGAGGACCATCGAGCCCAAATCCCCACTTATATATGCATATATATATATATATATTTATCTCATGATAAGAAAGCTTAAGGAATAGTTGGGGTTGGGATTGGCCCCATCCCTGCCAGAGACAAATCACCTGGGCATGGGAAAACCCTTTCCCTTCCCAAAAATCTCCTTCTCCCGCCCTCCTGCGTGGCCTGACAAGGAATTCCTGACCTTACGTATCACAAACTGAATCACCCAAATGTCAGGTGGGAAAAAACTGAAACACCTTCCGTTGGTGCTGAGGGTTTTAATCCTGCAAGTCCCTTCTTTGCTTAAATGATTTTATACTCCGAAAAAAAGGAGAAGAAAACCACAATAATTAGCAAGAGAGAACGCCTCGGAAGGATCTGTGTACAGAAGGAAAAACAAGAGCTTGAGCTCCTTTGCGTTCAGTAAATATTAAAATTAATGAGAGACTTTCAGGACCCTGTTGTTAGAAATGCAGAAGGGTTTCTGTGAAGGATTAAAGCACAAAACAACAACAACAACAACAGCAACAAAAAGAAAATAAGCCCTGAACACAAATTCCTGCAATTATTCCCAGCGCTTTCTATTTTTCAGCCAATTATGAAATTCATGGAAAGTATTAATATCCGATTTTAATTTGCTTAATATTCCCATTAACAATAAAAAGTCTAATTAAGGTATCTGTATAAAGAGCCCTCAGCAGTAATTTCAGAGAATAATAGAGGAAAATGACGAGATATTTCTTGTTAAATGCACGCTGCAAATTAATTGATATCTTAATTAGGCTTTAGTACTAAGATTATTAGTTAGATTGATTCAGGGCTGAAACATCTTCATTTTTGAAGGGATAAAAGTAAGCAGGAGAGGAACAAACTGATTCTCCAAAATATTTCTGGAAGCAAAGCAACGACACACTGGGACATTTCGGGAGCAGGGATGAGGACTCATCCCACAGACACAGAGTTAGATAGCACCAGAATTCAGCCCAAACCCTTTTTTTCCTCCGGATTCGAAAGCTTTTCTCCTCCCCAAAAATATCAAAAGCAGAAAGGGAATACAGATTTTTCACCCAAACCACTTTTTCAACCACAAAAACCACCCGGCAGCAAGAGCTGT